TGATATGAATGACAGAAACATGACAAATCTAAGGCCGTTGAACTCATGATATAGTATTAACGAAGCATTTCCTGGGAAACAAGGAGGGTATTCTCTCTCGGGTGACGTCTGAACATGCGTTGAGTACCACCAGCTTGAAACACCCGATTGAATCCCGGAAAGTCTTATCTGACGGACTGTTTTTCTTGGCATTTTTTGTGCATCTCGGGGCGTTCTGAGGGCACATAGCGACGCCTTGGATATGCTACCCATCTATCGGGGCTTATACAGGTTATTCAACACACTGAGAACATAACAGAAGAGAAAAAAACTTCTGTGGCTCCACCAAAGGTACGAAAAAAGGATTTTATCAGTGATAAAAGGTTGTTAATTTAAAACCACTTAAACACCAAACTTTATCCTGCTCTGTTAGATCCTTAAGTTCCAATCTTCGTTTTAGTCGAAATGTCTTTTGGAAGAACACACCCATTTGAAAATAAACTTCGGGTGATACTTTAACTTAAAAGGGGCAACGCAGACCTCTTTGGGCAAGGTAAACTGGGAAGATATTCACACCTTTTCACCTGTGATAATGTGACAAGTTGTACATTATTTTGCAATTTTAAAGTGTATCCCTATCAGCATTGCATCAACCCAGGGCACCATGTTCGCATCACTAAAAACATTTGTGTAATTTCATCTGCATTGTCTTCAGTATATACTGCCATTCAACACGAATCTTACTGTTCACAAATAGAAGTGAAATTGGGGGAGGGGGGGGGCATAAAATAAGGAATACTTTTGCCTCACTTTCTTCTTCAAAAATAACACGAAAATACTCTTACTGTCCAATGTGAGGCACAGGGAATGAAAACATTGTATTGTCCAATCTCTTTTTGTTTGGTATGTTTTTTTAGATCGAGAATGGGAAGCAAGGGGTACCTCCGAAGCAAAAAGCAGAAGGGGCACCACCGTCCCCTCCCCCCTCCCCCACCGGATCCGCCATAACTATCAGACTGGAAGGAGGATCGTACATTTAAACTTATCGTCAGATCACAAAATGTTCTTCGGCAGAACCCATAAACCCATTTTCGATATGAGAAAACGATTGAAGCAAGGAAATTAAAACTTAAATTAATGGTAGGCCCATGTGTTTGGGATGAATTTGTTTTCTCACAGGGCCGGTTGTAATATGATTAATGTTCTTTAATCAACCGAAATACCTATGGTGTTGATCGCTCTAATATGATTTGGATTTATAACCGCCTTTTTGTCGGTCAGGGGAATCTTTTTATAGACCCCAGTCTTGGTGCGCTTCGACTCTATGCCTTCATTTGCCATAAAACCCATTCATTTATTCATTGTGGACGTATTATCTATCATTTTGCTGTCAAAGCTTGATATGCGATGAAAAGGACACAGCAGTTAATATGTTTTTCGCCACTGAACCGACTCGTAGTGGTGTAGTCAGGGATATTGGGAATAGCTCATAATGGCTTTATTTATTACAATATTACTTGCTCACTTTGCCAAGGTAAGACTTCAATCTGGTTGTGGTTCTGTGATCAGGTTATCATCCATCTTCTACCTTCTTTTAATATTGAATGATAGGCCCAACGTTTTTTCACGAGTTTTCGTGGTTCACGAAGGTTGCAATTAGCATAGGAAGTAAAAAAAGCTGGTTATTCTAAACAATTTTGCTTTATACTTCCAATATTTCTGTTTACTGATTCAAAAATACAGTGCCATTAAACTAATAAGCTATCCTGATAAGACAAGCACACCTTATTCTCTTAAAATGTTTTGTGGTATGTAATAACAGTCTTCCAGTGCTATGTAAACAAAGCTTTAGTAGAAGTACTTCAGTAGACCAGAGCAGAAAAGACAGGAATAGAACAGACGAATACACTCACATTAAATGTCCATATTCATTTCCCACAGAGCAATAAACGAGAGCATTTATGAAACACCTGTATCTGCCATCCGCAATCGATTGGTTTATGCTTTTAAGATTATATCAGCATCTCCAACCGTCTGCTTTGTACCTGGGGCGGGATGTGCGACGTAAGGTCTTGTCCTCAGTTCGAGGTCACGGCGCGGCGACGTGCTACTTGGGCTGCCCTTTTGATGAAAAGATTTACAGCATTTGGTATGTGAATACTTGGAATACCTCCTAAGCGTTCTATCAGCGATTCCGCGCATTCTTCGCGTTCTTCTCTTCCACAAAAGACCTTTTGTTGGACTTCACCTGTTTGCAAAATTATAAATATACATATATATTATCTGTATATATCTATTTGCAGTGGGTGGGACATTCATATCTCATTCGAAAATCGGCGTTGTCGTTTCACTTGGTATTTGTTTATGCCACAAATCATAAGCTGAATGTAGTACGTCTGATAACACGTTTTTTCTGTTTGTTAAGAAACGAGAACGATACTTGACTTAAGTGGAAATGTGCAAACCAGCATCTTTCATAACTTTTAGGCAATAAGGTTTTGGTAGAAGTAGCTACTACAGCATAATGCAGGTTTCTTGAGCAGTATTCGAATATAAAAAAATCTCTATTTAAGACACTGCCACGTTATTTCATCTCAGTAAGTTATTATATTTATTATGGGTCTTTTGATTAAAATCAACAATTCCTTAAATTTAGGTGTCAGCTTTGCTGTGGGGATAAATAAATAAATACATAAATAAATAGATAAATAAATAAATAAATAAATAAATAAATAAATAAATAAATAAATAAATAAAAATAGAAAAGAAAGAAAAAAATTAGTATCAGCTTTCTCCATTAGTTAATTGAACTCCTCAGGAACTATGTTGGTCCCTCAGTTAACTAAAATGCAGGTTCAGTAAAATCAAAATTACTTTCAAAATATTTATTAGAATTTAGCGTGAAAGAGTGGCAGTGACTTGAATAAATTCCCAAGCCATCTCCACCAAGACAAGTTCGAACACGATCAAATTTTATTGTCCTAAACGTTTCTGAGCTCAGCTACTTAGTTTGGTTAACCCTTAAGAGATGGGCGTTTTCCAATGTCTCTTGTTGTTTATGGGCCATTAGAGCTTCCCTTTAAAGTACCCTATTAGGTCTTTTTTATTAGAAAGAATACCCGGCAGCGATTCGCGTGAGCCGCGTCAATTAGAGATTTTATATTCAGCCTGAATCCAGCGAAATGATACCCTTGGTGCCTTCTTCAATTGACTATGATCAGTGTTTCTTTCTCCCTGAACATTTCAAGAGTGACGCATCCACTCACCCAATCGTCAATTAACTTTTTATGCTTCTTTTGGTGAAGTGAATTAATACTCGATGTTTTCATGAAATGAATGGGTAATCGTTCGTTTTTGATATTCATGGAAAGTTAATATACATGTAAAGAAACCTGCAGGCATTAAATAAGCATTTAATTGTTATGCAAGAGATATTGATCATTAATTTGATGGATAATTGGGAAAGCGATTGATATATCACATCTTGAGCATTGTAGCAATCTTAGCACTGATAAAAAGCCGATCTGATGATTTAAATGTATATATTATTGACATTGGTAAACTTTTATCATTGTTGCAGATAGTTCTAACACGCCTGTACTATTGCGAGAGATGAGCTAACGCAATCATGTCACCTCTGATGAAATCAGAAACGCAACAATAGTCTTACAAACGAGCGCAACAGATCTCTAGTGTACTGGTATATAGCCGATAGCAACTGTTTTTCATTTATTTATTTAACATCTTTGTCGGCTTGATATTTGATTTTTACAACAACAAGTGCAAGTTGCCTATTTGTAAAATTGCCGTTTTTTGGTACGAAAATGCAATACATGAATAACGATATGTCGAATTTAAACGTGTACCTGTATGCATGCAAAAACAAAGCTGTCAAAGTACCAAAATTATAAGCGTTTCGAGCCATCATTTTTATTGTCCAGAGACATAAAACTACATTATCTACCAACTATTATTCATCCGTATATGTTTACCACAGCGACTTTTTCCAACTCTACATAAAAGGTTTCAAATGATTATAAAACTCCAAACTGTTCAAATTCCACTTTCTCTAGCGCTCTCCACTTACATACTAAATGCTAAATATAACTGATTTAAAAATAAAATAGAGTTTGAAAAATTCACCAATTTGTCATTAATCAGAATATACGTTGAGAGAAATAAAATAAAAAACCCAGGAATTATACTAAAAAATTAAAATATTTATACGGTTTTATATATAATTATTCCAAAAATCCATATCCAATAGCAAGTAAAACAAAAATGTGATATATTAAAAAAATGCTACTTTTACTGCAATCGGTGTATAGTGAATAATAAAAGAGTACAGAATATTAAGAAAAGATAAAAACATGTACGATATTTTCATTGATGAAACAAAAAATTAGAGCCACAAAAATAACATTAATGAAAAATCTAAACCTTGTGGCTAAGTGTAAGGTATCTATGTAGATCACAGAAAAAAATCGATTAAATCGATTAATAAAATCTACCAAAAACATCCAATATATAGTAGATGCAGGTTTCAATATATTACTTCGGTCACCTTACCCAAACAATATGATGTCCAGTAGCGGCCGGTTCCATGAATGAGCTTTAGTCCCCAAATTGACCGTAGTTTTTAGATTAAAATATGGTGCACTTTACTTCAAGATACATGTAAATGGATAGTAGTCCCCTTTAGGCCTAATAAGGTAAACATTGGTCTGCTATGTTTTTTTTGTTATGGAATAGTCTCAATTTTTATTGAAATGAACTACACTGCTTTATCTTGCCTCAAATTAGACTAAACATCTATACCAATTTGGGGCTTAAGTTCTCTTGTGAAACAAAACATAGAACTCGACTGAAATGGAAGTCGCCGACTGCTGACTGTGTCTCTAAAATTGATTCAATGACTATACGGATACATGTAATCAAAGGGATGTTGACCTTTCAGTCATTACTGCAAAGACTCAAAAGATTTGAGCCAGCTGGCGAACAGATGTAAACGCCTTCCTAAATTATGCAGCATCTTTCAAGTCACCCTTTAAAATATTGTCAAAGTTCTTGTTGCACATAGGACATCTTTTTCTCTCGCGCAGACTGCTGCGGAGACACTTCCCGTGAAACATGTGACTACACGGTGTGATCCGGGCATTTCTCATACTTCCCAAGCAAACAGCGCAAATGTCCTTGTAGGCCATTGTCTCCCGGAATGTGGCTCGTCGAAAAACCGAAAGCTTTTCTGTTTCTCGACAAATATTCTGCCACGCAGTGGCGTATGCTTTGTGTATAGCCAAATACATGTTGCTGTATATCACCAGAGCGATGACTAACATTGTCCAAGGGGAGGAAGGGCGGCCCAGGGTGAGGTACCATATTATCAACGCCAAACTTACGCTAGTCTCCAGTGCTGCGCACACAATGCCCGAAGCATCCTTCTCCATTCCCTCAAGGATATCAAAGGACAGTGCGTCTAGCGTGTGAAATACGGTGACTTTTAGCATCTCTGATGTAATGACCATGTGCATCGCCCGCAAGAATGTGTCTGTCACGGTTCCGCACAACAGATAATCTACGATCATAACCAAACACACTAAAATCCCCTCCGTTATCTGAAACTGCGTCTTCTTGTTTGACAATGGCGAGCTCTGTAGGAATGCCTCTGTAGTTTCATGAATCATTTTTGCGGCATCTACCACCAAGTTGTATCCCACGAATGACGTCAGCCAAGCCATGCGCAGAGAAGATTGTGGCGGATATGAAACGCGGCGGATATCTGCTACCAACAAAAAGAACATCACTTGTTTCAGACGCTGGTTTACCGGAGAATCGTGAGTCGATGCAATGTCTTCTTCCTCAAGGGGCGACGAAGAATGGAAGTATCCCAGCGTTCGGCCAGATTCAGCAGGATTCGCTGAAAAGCCGAGGACGAAGGATATTGGTAGCCACAAAAGCATGAAGATTATTTTAGACAATTCTTGCCCAGCATCGAGGGAGAAATAGGACACAACGAGCAAAAGGATGATAAGAAGGTTGAGCACAATGGCTGGTATCACCATATAATACCACACCCAGCGGTAGTCGTCCATGCACAAGAAAAATGCCACGCTCACCACACCAGCGACACCTATAAATAGAATTGATTTTATAATTATTTTAGAATTGATATTATACCAGAATTGATTGTATAATTATTTTAGAATTGATATTATACCTGATATTATAATGTGAAATACTGTCACGACGTTTGATTGGTAATAAAATCAGTTTTATATTTTTAGGCATTATCTTTCTGAAAAAGGAATGATATGCAAATCATTTACTGTCTATGCAAACTTTATAAAATGGACATTTCAAATAAAGGTAGATGATTAAAACATCATTGAAAGGTGCGCGTAATAGTTGCTAGTTACTTGTACAATGAAAATATTCGTTTTATCGTTAGGTACAACAAGTTAGTTACATGCACATATTGGTGTACAATGATAATAATAATAATGCTTAAATGAGATTTTTTTCTAATTGATTTGTAGATGACTTTCGCTTTGAGGCTTTACTAAATATGCAATTGTGACTTTTATATAGGCAAAACACATAATGCAAATGACGTTTACTAATTGGGTTAATATATAACAAAAATGATTTTGTATACAAATAACATAACTGATAAATGAGTAATTAGATAAGGACTATATTCAACTCACAGTAAGATAGTGCCGTCTTCATGTCTATTCTAAGCCGGACTCTCTCGTCTTTCATAAGCGAGTCTGCACCGTCCCCAGGCTCCCTAGCCGGCGAGCATCCACTCCTCATTTCTTGATCGACCATTAGTAATTTCCCTCTGTTATCCCTGTAAAACATGAATTTTCAGTTAGTCAATTAAACCAGACAAAATTAAATTACCTTTACCATACTTAATTCTTACTTTGCGTGTTACATTATCGTTCAAGTAGAGGATTTCATCACTTACCTCACGTTTTCATCGCAACAATTGCCACTGACGTCATAGAGTATTATATAAAACAGGAAAAAAATTCACAACTTAAGCAAACTTTGACAAAAGTTAAATCTCCTCTTGCATCAGCATTTACACTGCGGCTCTTAATGATTTAAAGCTGTCCTCGTCCAAATATGGCTGCACAGAAGAGAGGAGACATGCACATAAGATTTGCAGGAATGAGCGCACCTCAAAATATGTTACATCACGTGCTCAAAAATAGCATGACGTAAGCGCCGTCTCAATGTAACCCTCACCGAATTGTTCGTGACCATTGAAAGCATTCAGACGATATATCTGGACAGGATCGACCCAGACAGGTGCACATGTGATTCACATATAGACCTATATCATTGACGTGACTTTAACCAACAAACCCATAAGCTTTTACCCGTCTCTACTTAAAAAAATACTTTAGAAAATGTGACGTCAAAGGTATTTAGGGAATTATTTCAAATTCTTGGGGAAAAAATTAAATTCTGTAAATGAGAGTCTGCTTTAAGTTTTTTGACACTTTTTTTCTGATTCTTTTCTATTTAAACAATGCTCCAGCAAACGTTAAGCCTTCATTGAATGGAGACAATAAAGTCCAAACCTAGCTCGATCGTCAACAGAAATCGATCGTCTGGAGTTAGTCTGGAGGTCATGCGTCTCTTTGACCGAGAAGTCGGACACTCACGTGGCTAAACGAGAGACGACACTCACAGTAAAGAAGCTGCGTGAGAGTGTCCACCGAGTATGATTTCAATAAAAAAACAGAAGCTGATTGGATTCCAAATGCAAATGTAACACATGCAAATTTAATAGTACCGTCTTTAACAAAAACTTGAAAATATTCAACTTTTATTATTTGGCAGAATGTGAATGTGTAAGTTCGTTTGAAAGTAGCAGTGTCCTTTTTGTCCGTTTGTCTGCACAATGACTGTCCCCTAGCCCACTACTTATATGCATGACAAAGATAGTCCTTGACCTACATAACACAAAACTGGTCAAAACTGGATGATTCTTAACGACAACCAGACATGGGCCTGATTCACACTTAAATAACTCAGATCGGTTCTAAGCTCAAAGGGTGTTCAAAACTGGTTGAATCAGATGTATTTAAATCGTACTTGTCGTCACTGCTACGAGAACGTCATGAAAGCATAGTGTGACGAGACATTCTAACACACGAATGGAGATAAATCAGCCTTTGTGGTCGAGGATAAGTAATAAATAGGATTTCTCGATAGAGCAATAATTTGAGAACTACCGTATAATACAACAATATTGCATCTATGGGACAAATATTGTAACGGTTTTACAGTTTTAATTTGTGGTTGAAATTGCTAGCCTTTTGTTTTAGTGATGACTGAAATCTGATATATTTCTGGAAACGACTGTCAGCTATTTAAAAGATACTTTCAAACAAAAATTGCTAAAACTGTGGCCTCTATTGTGCTACAAAAAAAAAAAAAAAATGACTACAAGTCAAGTGCATGGTCGCAGTTTGAGCCACTCTCAAACTGGACTTACAGAGAAAATTGAACGCCTACTGAAACTGCGTGCTACTTTCAACCGCTTTGGAATTGGCACCATTTTGAACAAAAAAGTCAAGGTACGGCTCTATGGTGTGTGTGTGTGTGTGTGTGTGTGTGTGTGTGTGTGTAGGGTGGGTATGGTGATTTTGCAACATTTGTTTTTAATGGTTAAACCGATTTTGATTTTTTTTTTTTGCTTTATGGTGGACTAGTTTTGGCAGTCTACGGTCGTTTTATGTGGTTTTTAGGTTTATGCGCCCGGTTTATTAATTATGTGGCGATTTTACGACACTCGTTTACTAACCATGAAGGTGACAGCAGAACGTGCATCCATCGCCCAATAAATGCTCCGTGAATTTGCTTAAAGCTTTTTAACACACCCTCACTGAACATTACTACACATAACTAAAAATCACAAATTTTGAGCGATGCTCAGTGAAATGTCGAAATGCTTTAAGTGGGCTTACGCTTACTGGTTATACCTTAACTGAACTATTTTAACCCTCTCACGCTTATATCTATAACACAACGAAACAAGTCATTTAATCAAAATATACACTTTTGAGAGTGACTGCCATTGCCATCTAGTAGCGACCATCGTGGCTTGCCCTCCGCCTTTTATCGAACTGCTTTTTGTTTGACGTAATGGATATACAGAAAGTGCAATGCGTTAGTTGTGGTTTCTTCATGACACACCCGACTTAATCCTTTCAACAGTCACTGGTCATATCACAGGTGTTTCGGGTTTGTGTTTGCCACATCACTTTTTGTGAGAAAAATCGACTTAAAAAACTTGAAATTTCGTTTTTCTTGTCCGTGACATTTGGTCGTGTAGATACACTATCGCCAAAAATGATTGGTACACGTCTAAAATGATTGGTACACTTTTTGGGATATTTTACTCTTATTTCTAAAACGTGACGCTTGGCACGAAAAAGGAACCATTAAACCAAATGGCACGACATAAAGTAACATGTATGTGTACTATGAACACTTTCAGTCAGTCACTCTCCATTGGTTGTGACTGGAATGTCTGGGGTGTGTGAAACATGTCACAGAGTTTTGGTACAGTGCTTGTGGGAGGGGTGCGTTTGTCATGTTCTGTCAGTTTTCGCGGAGATTTGCACATTAGTAACTGTGTCTACCGATTACTGAGACCATGTCGCGACCTACAGATATGGTAATACGACACCAGACGGTTGCATATGCAGATATGGGCGAGGAACAAATCGAGATAGCCAGACGTTTGGGTGTGGACAGGAAAACTGTGAATAGAATCTTGAGGAGAAGGGCTGTGGCAGGAAATGTGACACCTGTTAAATCTACGGGTAGACCGCGAAGTGGAAACGCCAGAAGTGATCGTGTCATCATCAACCTGGCAAGAAGAGAGCGGACCAAAACTGCCAATGTTGAAGGTAGTGTTGGCTATAGTGTTGGTCAAGGACGAATAAGATGTAGTGCATAAAAGCCACCAATGTGACAGGTTCAAAAACAGGTTCATTCCGTTAGGAATTCAATTTGAAAAAAGCAGCATGATTAGATGCACTGATTTTTAAAAGCATGGCCCAACAGTTTTAGAGTGAATTTGACCACACACACTGATTTTGATTTGCCATTTTTAAAAATACAATTCTCAGTCATATCTTAGAAATGGTGCAAATGTTTGCTTAGTCCTCAATCATTAAGGCGAAAAGAATGAAGTTTTTTTGACAAATTTGATATTTTGTTATTCTACAACACTGTAATGGCATCATGATGACATAAGACATATTCTTGAATTAAAGATAATTGTTTTTAGAGATGAATATGTGTTAGAGTCAATGGAATTTTCTCACCACGTGGAATACCTAGAAATAAGGCTTTTTTTTTCAAAAAAGGAAGAAAACCATCATTCCAACTAAAAGATTAATAAAATAACAAATAAATGATTAAATTTCTCAGAAGCCACGTTATGACGCACCCTCACTTGTATTCAAATTTGACTGGAACATGTCAGGATTGGACATTGAATATACTGATATTCTCAAAAGTTTGGTACAAGAAAAATGTCCATACTAACTTTTTTTTACAAACTTTATTTTCACTTCATCGGTATATGAGTTTAATATAAATGTACCGCATACCGGAATCTAGAAAAATATCAGTTTTCATTTCATAATATTTTCAACAATCTTTTTCAAACGCGATTGCCATATGCAATCATGCCAACGTCTTGACAAATCATATGATGCCAGGATGATATAATGTACTTACATTTTGCCGGCGTTTGTTCGGTCCGCCTGTGTCAGAAATGACTGCAGCGAGCGAAAGTAAAGTAAACTGAACGTAGAGAGAACTTTTCTTGCCCTTTGAGATGTACATATATATATACATATTGTCAAGTTATCTAATTAAATTGTGTAATCCGATGACATTTCCAGTATCAAATGGCTAGAACTGACCTATGTCGTCAGGTAGAACTATTGTGTGCCGTCCTCATTGAACGGGTCGTGACTTGTCATTCTTCAATAGTGTGACCGGGCATCCCTTTTAAGTTATTATTTCACTTAAACTTACGTTATTTTCAAGGTTAAATGCATTATTTTAAAGGTTTTTGAACCTGCCACATTGGTGACTTTTATGCACTACTACTTATTCGTCCTTCACCGACACTATAGCCAACACTACCTTCAACATAAAACGTGTTAAAAGTTATCACAGGTCGTTTACCTATACGTGACAATTTAAGGACGTCGTTTCTGCAAATGACAATTATTATTATTAAAGTTGCTGTTAAAAATAAGTGAATTTAGAATTTCAATATATTTAAATAAAGTCAAGCTTTTCTTATAACTCTGCAATCGTATCATTGGATGTATATACACGTACATGTACATTAAACTTTTTTATACAGGAGTTATATTCTGTAAATGTGTTTATTTTTATGGTGATATTTTTCTAAATAAGTAATGCAGATATTTCGAGGAAAAAAAGAAAAAAGTGGAAATGTTGGGGTCAACGGGATATCAATGATAATTGTTTTGAATATGTAAGCAGGACTGCAGACATGATATTTTAAAAGTGCACACAGCCGAGCTAACAAAGTTGGCTTGACTGCGGGGTAGCAATATTGGAATGGAAAAAATAGTTAGGCCGTATCAAATGGAAGTTCAATATTTTGACTGATTTAACTGCGCAAGGCTTGATTTTACTACCATAAAGCAAACCACAAATATGAGATGTTTTTGCAGTAAGACGAATATTTTCTTGTCACATAATTCTAAAACGAGGAACGGTTATAGAAATCTCAAAACAGTCTAAAAGTAAGGACT